CACATGAAGAACACAAACTAACACATGAAGAACACAAACTAACACACGATGAACACAAACTAACACACGATGAACACAAACTAACACATGAAGAACACAAACTAACACACGATGAACACAAACTAACACATGAAGAACACAAACTAACACATGAAGAACACAAACTAACACATGAAGAACACAAACTAACACATGAAGAACACAAACTAACACATGATGAACACAAACTAGGCTAACAAGAATGGACTAATCACTAAAAGAACAGTGCTAAACAGCTAACTGAAATGAACATCAATATTACCCATAATCCCTCCCTGAGGCCATGTGACCGACAGTCAACCACAGCAGAATGCTACAACACAAATAAAAAAATAAAAATTCTGAACAGTGCCGGTAACACGGCTGGTTAAAAAGATTTTACAGAAGCCTACCAGGAATTCATTGATGCCATCTTCAAATTCTTCTTGCACAAGCTGTGCTCATGCAGGGGATCCCCCCTCATGGGGAGTGGGGGGGATCCCCTCCTCGTTTCATTGGTTCGACTGTAACCATCCATTAATTATCTTTACCCGCTTCTTCCTCTTCAGGCCCATGTCCAGCTATCATTCAACCTTTATTTATACAGGTTAATCCCATTGAGCCTCGAGGACTCATTTACAAGAGAGACCTGAAGTATACAGTATACAAGGGTCTAAGATATACGCTAAACACTAATAATGTAAAATTGCACAGTGTATTAAACAGCAGCCTGAACATGAGTGTTGTGAGCAGATGGGCATGAATACTGCAGCTTAAAGGCAAGAAATCAGCAGCGTGGATAAAGTGATATAGCTATACTTGTATATCTCCATTATCTCCAAGAGTAGTGATTGTCCTGGTTAGATTCATGAGTCTTAACAGCTTCAGGGTAGAAGCTGTTCCTCAGTCATGGTTCTACACTTGATGCTCCTCAACCTCCTTCCTGAGGGGAGCAGGGCAAAAAGTGTGTGTGCTGGGTGAGTGGGGTCCTTCATGATGCAGGTGGCCCTCTTCCTGCATCTAGAGGTGTAGATGTCTGTAATGGTGGGGAGGTTGACTCCGACAGACATCTGTGCAGCCTCCATGCCACACGTTGATGCTGGAGCACAGGATGCTCTCCTCTGCACACCTGGAGAAGGAGGTGAAGACTGAGCTCCCCAGACCAGCTCGTCTCAGCCGCCTGAGGAAGTAGAGTCTGATGAGCTTTCTTGATCAGGCTGGTGGTGTTGCCTCAGCTGAGGTTGTCATTCAGGTGCACACTAGGGCTGGGCGATATCTCCGTATTTAAAAAATATTGAGATAATTTCATGCGGTATATGATGGGACTATATTGTCTATCGATATTTCTACATTGCATTATAATTAGACTTGAAAATCTGTTTCTCCCATCTGTGCTCATCTGCACACGGCCCTTCCTTCTCCCTTCAATCGAATACAAACACTCAGCCGCGCGCTCCCCCATGTCCTTCTACTCCAGGTTTGGCGGGAGATGTTTAGCACAACAAGTAAATACGGGAGATCTGAAGAGCATCTTAGCTGCTGAGCAAAAGTAAAAACAATGGCTGTTATTTCGGAGATGGTTTGGATAAAAAAAAAAAAAAGATTTCTGTAGACAATGCCGAAAGCAAGCCCTGACAAAAGGTCAGAAAGTTCTGAAAGTTATTTCTTAGATCTACGAACTCTTTTTCACATTTTAAAACAGCGTTATAAGTTAAGTTGTAAGCTGCAGCTCCAACTGTTTTCAGCCTCCTTCCCTGAAACTTGCCACGTTCTAAAACCCATTTAGCCATGCTGTGCCCTATGAGAGGAACAGAGAGGTGGTGTGACATTAATAAATCAGCAGCTTATCATATCGCTAAAGACACGGTCCCAGTCTCAACTGTGGAATACGACTGCTAAAGCTAGCCGTCTTGTTGGCCGCTAAGGACCGTGTCTTTAGCGATATGCTAAGCTGCTGATTTATTAATGTTGTGCCACCCCCACTGTAAGACTTGAAAATCTGTGTACAGTAGTTCTCCTTTTTCTGCCTGTCCAACTTCACACGGCCCCTCCTCCTCCTCCCTCGCTGAATACAAGCAGCCCCTCACTGCTGCAGTTCACACACGCTTACTAATGTCGTGACGGCGGCGCAGCTAGGGAGGATTATTATTTAATATATGTAAACAAATGTCTAAAAAACAAACTTTAATATATGTAAAAAATATTTATTTTTTAGACATTTCTTTTGTACAGTTAATAAATGTGCCTGTGTGACAACTGGGACAAAGCTTTGACTCAAATACATTTTTGTTATTACTTTATGGAAAGAAAAAATGTGTGTATATGTATATTTTATATTACAATTTATCTTAAAATATCAAGATATTAATTTTGGTCTGTATCACCCAACCTTAGCTAAGTACTTGTACCTAGAGACCCCAGATCCTCCTATGTTCGGGGGGGTCCTTCTGAAATCAGACTCATCACTGTTTGTGATGCATCCAACCACGTGAGCCTGTATGTAGATGAAATCTAAAATAAATTCAAATTTGTGGATCCAGTTCTCGTTTCTAAAAACCAGTGAAGTTTTTTAATAATTCCTCTGTGGGGGGAAAAATTAAAGATTCAAATAAATTCTTAGAAGCCCCAAATTCAGGACATTGTCCATGAGGAGTGATTGGCATAAAGTTGGGTGTGTCTTAGCCCAGCCACGTCCTCCCATAACCACACCCCTTGGTAAGACACTGACAATTCATAGCTGCTCCAAGTAATCTCAATTTATAAAAACAAAAGTAAAATTTGCCTGAAAACAAATGTTACCTTTTAGAAAAAATCTTGAGGGGCAGTTTTTTTGTTGTTTTCCACCAGAATTTCTTCAGTATTTCCTTCCATTCTTCTAATCGTTTGCTTCTCATCAATTTTTCAGCCAAGTACGAGGTCCGGACGTTACAGGAGCTGGCCCGGATCTGCATCCGCCACACCCTGAGAGTGACCTCCGACGGAGGGGACAGCCAAACACGCGGCCGCGGCTCCTCCTTCAGCGTGGGCAGAGGGCTGGCAGCAGCGGGGCTCCATAAGTACGGCCCTCGCTTTAAACGTCGGCGGGTCCACCAGCACCACTGCAACGCCCTGGTGCTGGCCACCCGACAGGTGGTGGCGAGCAGCGGGATCGGCCCCGCCCCCCTGGACAGCAACAACAACCAGGAGGGGCAGGTGGAGGACGAGGAGATGGCTGGAGAGGCGAGGCGGCCCATGAGGGCAAGCAGGCGGTCGGCGAGAAGGGGGCTGGCGGAGGAGGAGACGGTGGAGGAGGAGGACGAAGAGGAAAGGCGGGAGGAGGATGAAGAGGAGGAGGAGGAGAAGGAAACGGGCGAGCTGCTCCGCCCCCAGCCGGCCGTCAACCTGCTGAGGGAGCGGATCCTGAGCCTGCCGTTGCCTGAGCCTCTGAAGATGTACCTGCTATTCTACAGAGAGAAATGAGACTGGCTGGAACTGCGGCCGAGTCCAGAGCAGAAACCCTGCAGGTCCCGAAGCCTCAGAACCAATCCAAATACACCCCCCACCCCCCCAAACACACACACACAAACAAGAATGGTCGAAGTTCCTCACCGACACCCAGCTTCTCCATGGCTTCTCTTCTCGCCTCATCATCCTCTCCATCATCGTCCTCCTTCCACTCCACTGCTCTTTATTTGTTTTCTGATGCCGTAAAGAGTCGGTTTGTCCGTTTTCCCCCTGAAGGGGGGAGCGGGGTGGGGGGACTCACAACTCCAACCGTGTTTTGATCAGGTTTGTGCAGAAATACAGGAAGTAGAACAGTTTATAGATTGTCTCCAGATAACCATCAACGATCCAGCGTTGAATGAGCAGCAGAACGATCTGCTCGAGTTGAAGTCAAAGGTTGGACGTTGCAGCCAAAGACAAAGCAGGGGGGCTTTTTGCCCCCCACCTCCCAAGAGGCATTTGTCTGATCATCACCACAGTCCAAGGAAACGCTGACGGTGTCTTGAGTTGTTTCACCGTCCAACGGGGACAGGGTTTGCCAGTTTCACAGGAAGTCGGTGCAGAAAAGGGAGATAATTTCCAAACCAACCCTCTGCCTCGGTCCGTTTGGGGATTTAGCAGGTAATTCGGTTTGTTTTCACCTGTTTTGTCAGCTTTGGATCTTTGTGACGATTTTTAAGAATTGAAGTTGTTCAGGTTCAAACAAACTTGTTACCTTGTAAACAATCGGCTCTTCTGAGGCCGAAGGCAGGTTTGAAACGTTTGCAGGAGACTACTGAAGCTTGAATTTTACTTTCCTTTTTTTTAATGCACACTTTTTTTGTTGAGGTCCAATCCATCTCTTTGGAGATGCAGCCAACTTTAAAGTCCTTACATCCACATCCCAAAAAACTCTTCAGTCCAGAAGAGCGTGACCATAAGGCCCCCTTCGCTCAGGATTTCCACTTGTGGCTGGAAAACCTCCTTCAGTGTGAAGCTATTCAGCTTCTACACTTTCTTTCTTGCCGCGACTCGAGCCGCATCAGAATGCAGCTTTAGAGTAGATGATGCCATCTCTGCTAAAGTAGAGGATGCCATCTCTGCTAAGGTAGAGGATGCCATCTCTGTTAGGGTAGATGATGCCACCTTTGCATGGGTATAGGATGCCATCTCTGCTAAAGTAGATGATGCCATCTCTGCTAAGGTAGAAGATGCCACCTCTAATAGGGTAGATGATGCCACCTCTGCTAAGGTAGATGATGCCACCTCTGCTAAGGTAGAGGATGCCACCTCTGCTAAGGTAGA